AATCTCTCAGAGTGAGAATGCTTTTCTTCCAATTCACCCCTGCTTGGGCCAGAGCTTCCGACACCAGCTCTTCTCTCACAGGCCGGTAGCTAGCCTTTGCCTCAGCTGCCAGTTCCTGAGTCAGCAGGCACTAGGGGGCATGGCGTGGAACACAGCTGCCTTGGGCTGCCTGATCAGCAGGGGCTGTGGAAGACACCACTCTAGGATTGCCGGTTGAGTGATAAAATGGTCCTAAAAAATAAATGAGGCAGCTACCCAGGAAGGGCGTTTCAGACAGGGCAGCACGAGATTCTCAAGACAAGGAGAAAGACGGCACTGCCCATGGGGAGGAGAGGCTTTGCTGTCCAGAGACATGATGTGACTTAACCTTTTCTCAAACTCATTTGGCTTCTGGCTGAGAAGAAACAGGAGAGGGTCACAGTCAGAAACTGAGAGATTGCATCCCACACTATTGCCAGGCAGGCATCGTGGATGTGGTTGAATTGGGAGCATATTTTGATGACTGAGATGAGAGGATTTACTGATGGATCAAAGGGGAATGAAACACCACCTGGTTTTAGGCCTGAGGAACTGGAAGGATGACGCTGCCATTTGCTGCCCTGGGGAAGACAGGAAGAAGACCGTGCTGAGCACGAGGTGTGAGGCCTTCATCGCACCCGGGGTTAGTCCTTTCTGGCTGCCATCACAGACACTCCACCAGGGGTCGCTTTCCAGAGCAGAAACTGTTTTCTCAGCGTGTGAGGTTAGAGGCTGAATTCAGGATTGTTCTGGGCCGAATGGTGCCATTAGCAGCTCAATGGGTAACCCACTCTCCTGCCATCTCGGCTTACCATCTTACATCTAACCATGCACACAGATACCCCGTCTCTCAATAGAATTATAACCATAGATTTCAGAGGTTAGAATTTACATCACATCTTGGGGCAGGGGCGGTAGTTGGGATGGGGCGTGGGGTGCACTCAATAACACACACCCAGAGATAAACACCATGATAAGAGTTTACAGATATTAACTCAGCCAATCCCAAGAACACTGTCATGAGGCAGATGCGAGGCTTGCCTCCACTTTGCCGGGGGAAATTGAGCCACAGAAGGAGTAAGTGACTTGTCTGAGATCACCTAGCTGGTAGGTGTTGGAACTGACACCCAAACACAAGGAGGGAGCTCAAGAGCAGACACAGAAGCTTTAAAACGTTCTTGAGAAGATTGCATTATCTTTTAATTCCATGGTCCCACTAACTTTTTGAAGTTCCCTTGTGTTCTTCTACTCTAAACATAGAAGACATCTCTTGGTTGCTCGAAAACAACAAATCATAATTACATGTAAAAATAAATAAATGAAACCGGGTTTCAAATCTTGGTAGCAGCCTTCTCCTCCTTACCAACATGCCCACCTCCCACGCCTTCCCAGGAACCTCCGTATCCACTGGCAGCCTCGGACGGTCATGGAGATGACTTTCCAGGTTCGAGCTATTTGAAATGTTGTGTAACAAAATTAATGATATTTAATTAAACTCATCCATTTTTTATAGCCCTGAAAAAATCTAAAATGCCATGCTAAGCTTATGAGATGGCAGTCCTCCAAAGGATTCTGCTGCTGGGGAAATCTGCTACCAGACGCAAGCAATTTTAGGGATCATTTTCTATGAGTAAGTCTGATGAAGAGCCTCTCTTCCTGGCTTAAGCATCAAGCAAGAACGAGTCTCTGGGTCCAAGAACAAGAAACTTCCTATCCCTTCCCTTGTTGCTGCATTCCTTCCACAGCTCCCTGACTCTAAGTATACACTTGATTTTTGTCTGCTCTTTTCACGGTGCACTAAATGAGGATTGCCTTACTCCTCTCTCCCTGTGGTAGCAGAGCAGGGAAATTTTTTTGCCCCTCCCAAGTACAGAACCTGATCTGTGGTAGTCAGAACTTATTAGCATTCATTGAATAAAAAGAATGCTCTTGTGCACAGGTTGTTTCTCTCACCTTGGCTATTGGTCAGGTTGAACTGTGACCACGCTGCCCAAGAAGCTCCAAAGTGTTGGTGGATGATGGCAGCAGCTACTTCTTGCTCACGGTTTGAGAATTGGCTGTAGTGCCTGCAGGTCTGGGTCTCACATCTTCTCATTTGGGGCCCAGGACTAAGGAGGGTCTTCTCTCTGGTACACCCTGGCCTCATGAGGGAGGACGTATCACAGGAGGGCTGAAGGAAACTCCAAAGCAACCTACCGTCTCTCTTGGTAATCCTTACATGGTCACTGCCACTACATTCCATAGGCTAAAGCAAGTCCCTGGGTCAAGCCCAACCAGAAAGACTGGGTGCTTCTGATAAGCCCAAATGGGAGGAGGGGGTGGAAGTACATGTGCGGTCAACAATACGACTATCACATATTGTTCATTGAATTTTCCATTGGCACTGTTCTTTTCTGACCAGCAAAGGAACTGTTTTACCTACTCTGTGCAGTTCCAGAATGAAACGCAACACCTGCCCACCATGGGTTCTCAGCAAATGCTTGAATGGACAGGAATCAACAGAGATAACTTTTTAAAAGCCATTGAAACACATTGCTCCATTCATCACCTGTGGTACAAAGGCTGTAGAGCGGTGTTTCCCAACGTGGGAAATATTGTCCCCTGATGGCACTGGAATGATCCAGGGGGCAGATGCAAAAGCAGATACCTACACTTTATCTTGGATTATAACTATTCAACTCTCCCTGCCAGAGTCAACGCTGACTCAGATTGAGCCCGTGGTTTTCTGGGGGCTGAAACTGTGCATGGGAGTAGAAAGCCCTGTTTGTCTCCCTCGGAGCCACTGGTGGGTTTGAACCGCTGACCCTGTGGATCTCTCAGCCCAACACATAACCATTACACCATCAGGGCACCTTTTATGGGCTATAGTCCAAAGGTGTTTAATGGCCAGGGGGAGTGGAGTGATTCTGTGTGTGAAAGGGGGTGGCAGGCTAAGTAAGTGTGGGAGCCTATGCTATAGAGTGAAATGGCTATACGGACAAGTGAAGGGCACCTGATGTGAAACAAATCTGGGCTTAACAGCCCAGGAAGTCTTCATAGAGGCATCCTCTAACGACGGCCCGGGGACCACATGCGGCCCACCGAGGACATTTATCCAGCCCACCAGGTGTTTTTGCCCTGCTTGTTTTTTTACTTCAAAATAAGATATGTGCACTGTATACAGGAATTTGTTCATAGTTTTTCTTTGTTAAACTATAGTCCGGCCCTCCAACGGGTCTGAGGGACAATGAACTGTCCCCGTTTAAAAAGTTTGAGGACCCCTGCTTTAAAGGAAAGGCTCTGGTGCAGAACGTATTGTATTTGAATGTTTTCAAAGGACATGCAATGCAAAAGGACTAAGCTAAAGATTTACTATTGAGTTCACTCTGTGGTTGATTTTTTCCCCCCTAAGCCAAATGAAGAATTCAGGCAGTTTTAGTTTATCTGAATAGCAATATGTTGCTAAAGCCTTTGGTTCAACCATATAGATCCTATAGAACATACAACTAAAGAATTGAAGACTATGCTAGCAACTGCTTTTAACTCATTTTTTCTGACTCTTCCCCCTCCCTCTCCCTTTGCTGAACGTGGTAGTAGACCCTATCTGCTCTGACAGGCAGGGTGGGAGGTGGGCAAATGACTAGAATCTAGGCAGCCAGGCAGCCCATTCTCATAGACACCGAGGTCAGCGTGCAGGGGTGTAATACCGAGGTAGGGATGAGTAGATTTCTCTGAGGACAATGTAATGATAGAAGTAGGTGTCCTACATGTGGGGAGAATGTGACTGGGAGGTTGTAAAGAATAAGGCCCACCCCCCAAAAGGTAAGCAGAGAGGAGAGATGGAGAGAGTAAACTCTGATGGAGCCATGCAATCTGCTATGCCCTGGGCTTCTCAGTCCTGTCACGAGTCAGTACATTTTTTGGCAAATCTCATTTGATTGTCCCTGGAACTGAGCGATCCTAATACATGTATACTTGTCTATTTTAGGGGATTTTAGTTCGCTGATGTTGAAAACAGATGCCCACAATCATGTGGGCAGATCATGAAGGGTAAAAAAAGAGCAGAATTTTTGTATCAAATGAATCAATACTACCAATGAAGCAGCATGTGAGGAAGGGGCAATGCCAAGCATCCTGGTGCAGGATGAGCGTTGGTGCCGTTACTGGTGATGCTGAAGACCACCAGAGACCTCAGTTGAGTTGGGTGTGTGTGGGGTTTACTCCATATGCACCTGTTCTCACCATCATTTTGGTTTGTATGAGAAGTGGGATGTAGGGAAGGGAGAGGATTGTGGGAGTGTGCCAACAAGCTACAATAACATGACTGGTTTCGGGTCAAGGCCCAGCGCTCTTCACCGCGGTCTTTGTCTTTGCAGCATCTGAGAATTATTTGTACTAAAGAGACTGTTGGGGAAGGGAAAGGGGGACAAAGGGGGAAGCCATCACAAGGTTGGCTATGTAGCACCCAGCACCCCAAAGGGGATGAATAACAGAAATGTGGGTGGAGGGAGACAACACACAGTGTAAGATATGAAATAATAACTATAATTGATCAAGGATTCATGGGCGGGGGGAGCTTATACCAAGGGTTCAAGTAGAAAATGCTTTAGAAATGATGATGGCAACTATGTACAAATGTGTTTGATACAACTGATGTATGGAATGATATAAGAGCTGGAAGAGCCCCCAATAAAATGAATTTTATAAAAGAGAGAGAGAGACTCTCTTCTGCTTTGCTTTTCTATCAGAAGCTGGCTCTGCGGGGGAGCTAGGCACGTGCAGAAGAGTTAACGCTCATGTGTCCTAAGAGACAGGGTCTCTATCCCCTAACGTTCCATTCTGCAAATGTACGTGAAAGGAGATGTGAAGGGGACCAGCTTCACAAGATGCAGGACTGTGTTTCAGACACTAGCCAAGCACTGAACCCTAAAAGAACAAAACAAACAAAAACCTTCCTTTGGGGATAACTCTTCGACTGCTAGACACAACGAAACAGATTTTACTTTAAAAGAAAAACCTTTATTCTTTACCATCTCAGTTCAAAAATACTCATTCTTTCTCAGGGTTGGTCCATCTGCCTCTGTTTAGGGAGGTCTTAAATATCTTAAATACACCAACATTGAGAGCACTGGTGTTTAAAGCACGTCGACACTTTTGAATGGGGAGCAATGCTAACAACAGGACAAAGGCTCTGGAACTCGGCGGGAAACCAAGAGGGAGCCTAACAGAGCACATGCTGAAAAGGCGATCAGCACGTGGTATCAGCCGCCCTCACGCTGAGTAAACGGTTTGATGGGACAAGCACGTTCTGTGGAAAGGCCTTACACACCCGATCCAAAACGGGTCCTTTGGGTGTGGAACTTGTGAGCACAAGTGCCCGCAATGACCTGACAGGTGGTATGAAGAAGACAAAAGCAAGGCATGTTTAGCGTTGACTTTTCAGTAGATGTAACACAAGCTCTTCGTCCTCTGCCAAAGACAGGCCCGTGTCCAAAGGTTGCAGGGTCGCCCACTTGGCCTTCTTTCTATCACGGCTTGGTGGTCCTGCGTCTTCTCCTTCATTGTTGCTCCTTTTCCTCACTGCCTGCTGCTTCTTGGTGTCACTGGTGGGAACAAATCCAACGGTTTAATTTTCTAAGACGGATAGCTAAGTTCAACATTAGAAAATCAAACCAGTAGCCAAAGCGAAAACAAAGTGATCAATAACATGTAGATGGTAAGAGTGGTATCATTCAAAAGGGAAAGAAACCATAAAAGCATCAGGCTAACCAGTGTCCCCTTGTAGGACTGGCACTTCGATGGGAAGGGACAAGGGACTGCAGGGCCTGCTCGTGGCACACATGGTGTCACTGATCCTCACAATAATTCAAGGAAGCTATGGATTTATGAAGGAGCCTAGGGCTTAGGCGCTGGGCTGTGAATGGAAAGGCTGGCAGTGCAAACCCACCGGCTGCTCTGAAGGAAAAAGACAGGCTCGGACTGCTCCTGTACAGTTACAGCCTTGGAAACCCGACGTGGGGTCATAATTAGAACAGACTTAGTGTCCATGTTGTTGTCTCCGCAGGCCTGTCTCGATAGGACAGGCTGGATGAACAATCTGGAGGAGAAAACAAC